TGGTGCAGTGGGTTAGGGTTCATTTCCTAGAGGAAGAAGGGACCGATACCACTGACTGGCCCCATCAGCTCAGTGATGCCCTGGTCCAGATCTGGGAGGAGATTCCCAGCAGACCATCCATCGTCTCATTAGGAGCATGTCCCAATGTTGTCAGGCAGCAGCTTGTGGCGGCTGCAGAAACTACTGAGCAGCATTTTGAGTTGCTCATGGAAACTTTGGCAAAGTGAACTAACCTGCTGCATCTTTTTTTACTTAGATTTTTGAGTTGTTTTTGTATTCAGCTTCTGTAGGTTGATCATTTTCATCAAAATATGTGGCATTGTTTCCTTCCTAAAACGTTACCTGGTCCATATCATTATAGATATATATGCATGTTTTTCCCCATTGTTTTCAAAGTGTTCTTTTAATTTATTTTGAGTGTATTTATTGCACTTTAAACACATCTTATAATCAAGAGAAGCCAGACATCTCTGCAGCTGATTTCTCTAAAACTAGGCAACGGTTTGGGTTGAGAAACAGCACTAAGACCCAGTGGTAAAGCCTTTTGTCAAGAGAGACAGCGACTTGGAGATCCTGCCAGGATCACCACATCCACATAAACAGGTGTCCTCGCATTAGTAGTTTTAGATTTGATTTGTTTAGATTCGTACCAGGCTCTTTACAAATCAGAAGAACAGTGTGTGTACACAAAGTGAATGATGATCTGGCTTAAAGGACTCTCGCCTCTTGGCTTGAATGTGAATTGTAACGCTTCAGATCATTGATGCTGCCTCCTAAAATAAAGAGAGTGCACTGTTAGTCACGCTATCTCAGACTGTGGTGGTTCTGAGAAATTGAGGATATGAGGTCAAAAAGGTTGAAAGACGGGGAGTTACAGCGTGTGTGGAAAGCTGCCCAGCCAGCACTCAGGCCAAATGTTTGTAGATGAAATCGTTTTCACAGATCTGCACGATTCAGCTCGCCAGTGAGAAGCCATCTTGGGCCTTTTGTCCTGTAAGAAAACCTGCCATGTCAGCTTTATCAGCACGTTTGGCTCACATAGACCTTCAAAAGCTCATTTGGAGGTCTGCTTTACGACTTTGACTCTATTGTTGTCGTAAAATCTTTGCCGGAGAAGCCCTGCAGCAATTCTGACAAATTATATTTTGTACCACCACCAGAGATGGCGGGTGAGAAATTTGGCCTGGACCGATTCTGAAGTGTGACATCTTGTTTCTCAGAGGAGGGCAGCAGAGACGAGGAGATGAGGTGAGAAGAGAGGAGGCAGCACCTCCTCTGAATGTGAGAACAGACGAGAGAGAGGATGGGAGTGATGGAGAGACTGTGTGAAGGAGGGCAAGAGAAAAGTGGAAGAGGAGGTGGTATTTGGAGTGAAGAGAGCTTCTTAAAGAAATGGCTAAATCAAACATGGATGAATGGATGAAAGCCCCGAGGCTTCAGGGTTCAAGAAACCGTCAATAACATCAACAGAGCCCTAAGAATTTCTTCCAAAATAAAATAAATCAGGTCAAGTTAGGGTTCAGCTCTCCACTTACTTTGGTGCTGGAGTAATTTTGGGAGCCAGGACAACTTTGCGCCTACGTGTCTTTCCAGGAATCATGACGCGGTTATTTAAAACATCTACAAACTTTGTTGTGAACAGTCTATGGGGCAACTTTTCTTTTCTTACTGTCTACAACCAAAAGAAGCAAACAGCTCACTGTGCTCCCAGAAACACCACACGACAGAGGTTTAGGGTCAGAAAGCCAGTCTTTAAAGTGTTTTTAATACACCTTTGCTATTGAAACTATCTGTAAACATAAAAATAGTTTTAGTGCTGAAACCTTAACAAACTTGGAACTGACACAATTTGGTCCTTTTATCAACCACAGCCTGATCTTTATTTGCACTTGGTTGCCGTACATTTCTTCCACTCCACTCACACAAGTTGATTGACCCGTTAAGCTCAGCTGACGGGAGCGCCACTAATATTTTCATGCTTGTTGCAGTGTCTCTGCTATGAGCCTCTTGTCACGCAGCTTTCTTCTACACGTTGATGTGGTTCAGTTTCCCATTTGGGACTTTGTTTCGTTTTCACTTGCTGAGAATTCGGCATGGAAGATTTAATCATCAGCAATCCATCATAGACACACATGTAGGGTAATGTTATTTCATCTTATATGTGCGCTGGGAGCAGGACGGCTCGTCCTCGCTGTGCCTTCGATGGCTCTGAGGAGCCTAAAGAGAAGGCAGAAAAGAGACATAAGGGTGTGACAGAAGCATGTCGGAGAGAAGACGAAGAGGAAAGGAGGAAGGCATCGGGAAGGGAGAGGAGTGGTGCATTGCAGTGTTCACCCACCCAGCCAACTCGTGTGTTTGCTCAGTATACTTGTGAGGGCTCTTCCTGATGATATTCCTTCCAGAAGTTAAAGAGTAAGCAAGTCCACAATACACGATATTAAAAGACAAGAATTTGCTAGTCAGGATATTAAGAAGTGAAGAATTCAGGAGAGGTTGAAGTCAAAGCTGGAGAGGAATGTGGTTGTTGATGGTCTTCACATGTACAGGAAGGCGAGCGCTGGCGTGTGTTGGAGGAGCTGCTGGATCTCCAGGCTGCCAGGCTGAGTTGTGGTGAACTTTTCCCCAGGAGGGAGTGTTCTGTCTGGGGGAAAGAGAAGATGACCATCTGGCGCCTGTGGAGCTTCTGCTGCACTGACAGTCAGCTCCCCGACACCCTGCCAGAGTGTCCCTGAGCAAGACACTGGAGGTTGAATCCCGTCCATTTCTGGAGTTGCTGAAATTGCTTTATTAACTTGGTTAAGTTATCAAATGTGTTTGCCTTGTTTTCAGTCTTAAATACAGAAGGATATTTATTTAGCTCATGTTTTCATGGGTTTGTTTATCGAGTGGCTGTGTGGGAGAAGGTGCAGCTACCTTCTTTGTCCTTTAATAACATCTCAGATTACACAAAGTAACAGCGAACTCTGACTCAGCTTAAATTCACAGAAGAATGTCAGCCAGTCCAAGATACTTGGAACAAGCTTTCTACCAAGTAAGCTGATGAAGAAATCCGGTGTTGTTGTGCGCTCACACTAAATGTTATCCAAGTCATCATTTGTAGAAGTGCAAAGAGTCAAATGCAGGAGTTTCCCTTAGCTTGTAGCAGCTAATGCAGCGTGGCTGTGATGGTGGTGTAGATTGCAGCTCGGCACGTCTCTAGACTCTCATGAATGTTCACCTGGGTGACTTTGAGGACGTTAGCCTTTCTGTGGATTTGCACCGATCAGAGGATGAACCGCAACAAGGTCCAGTGTGAGATTAAAAAAGGATTATTCTGAATTCTGGATCATGTAAAGCTACTCTAGCAGACTCCAATGATAAGAAAATCACAGCTGTACATGAGTGGAAGGGCTCACATTTGGATGTATTTTTGATGCTGTGCAGATCTAATGTCAGACCCACACAAAAGTACGAGCTCTGCAGTTCAGTCATTTCGACAGGGTGTGTGTGTGTGTGTGTGTGTGAGTGTGTTTACATTCTCCTAGAGATTTGCTCCATATAACACAAGCTGATGACATACAAGTGTTGTATTCATCAGTTGTTTTTGCTATCTTAGGTAAGGGGAATAATTCTGTTTGTACACATTTAGCATCCCTGCTGATTATAAACAGGATAAGTTATAGCTTGTCAAAGCTTGTGGTTTGTGTTTACCTGTTATGTTGAGGATGGTGGTTGCATGTTTTTACTATAATCTATTAAGAGTTTATTACTTGCTACAGTCACTGGGCGCTTCCTTAGGGACTGGTGCTGGATTGGACCTGTGTTTGCCATCAGAATGACCTGAATTCTTCATGGCATAGATTCAACAAGGTGCTGGAAACATGTAAGATATTCTGGTCTAAAACCACGTGACAGAATCACACAGCTGCTGCAGATCTGTCAGTTGCATCCATCATGTGAATCTCCTGTTCCTGCCTCGAAGGTGCTCAATTGGATTGAGATCTGGTGACTGTGAAGGTCATGTTCAAGAAACCATTATGAGATGAACTCTGTGACACAGCGCGTTATCCTGCTGGAAGCAGGCACTGTGCACTGGGTACACTGAGTACTGAGACAGCCTGGGGCATTTAAATGATACTGTGTTGGTACTGAAGGGCAGAACCTGTGCCAAAAGAAGTGTTCACATCACACCACCAGCAGGAGCCGGAACCACCAATAAAAGGCCGGATGGATCTACCATCAAAATGTTGCAGCAGGATCAAGACTCATGAGACCAGGCGGTGATTCTTCAGTCGTCTGTTGAGTCTGTGAGAATTGTATCCTCAGTTTCCTGTTGTTAGCTGAGAGCAGCGGGCTCGATGTGGTCTCTGTGCTATAGCCAGTCTGCTCTAAGGTGCGACGTGTTGTGCGTTTGCAGACGCTCTTCTGCACACCTCAGTTTTCACTGGTCAGTATTTGACTCGCTGTTGCTTCTTATCAACTCAAAGCAGCCTGACCTTTCACTTCTGTCTTCTGGTATCAACAAGGCATTTGCTCCCAGGGAAACTGCAGCTCGCAGGATATTTCCTGTTTTTTAAACCTTAGAGATGGTTATGAGGGGAAAGTCATCAGTTTCTGAAATACTCAGACCAACCTGTCCGACACCAACAGCAACGTTCAGTCCTTTAAATCACCTTCCTTTAACATTCTGATGCTCAGTCTGAACTTTAGCCGCTTGTCTTGATTACGCCTAAATTCATCGAGTCGCTGTGACTGCTTTTCGAGCAGGTGAAGGCTTGTAGCTAATAAAGTTGCATGTGAGCGTCTATGGTATTGATAAGGTTTCTTATTTGGAGGAAAACCTGTTTCAGCTTATTTAGAGGTTAAATAAATAGATGATAGGCAGAAACACAGGATTTACAAGTGCAAGAGCTGCAAGGGTGATTTTAGTTGTGAGTTTGCGTCATGTTGAAAGTCTTCCAGTGATCTGCAGCTCCCGGTCTGACTGACAGATTGTCCTCTGTGTCTGTGTTTGCTTTCAGGGGGGACCCGGGACATCGGTTCAGCCCTCACCAGGATGTGCATGAGGCATCGCAGCATCGAGGCCAAACTACGCCAGTTCTCCATGTGGGTAGATCTGTGTGTGTGTGTGTGTGTGTGTGTGTGTGTGTGTGTGCGCGCGTCAGATGAACAGGAGTGGCCTGTCCTCCCAGTTCTCCATGGCAACCTGCCTGCCTCAGCTTTTAGATCCTCCATCCTGGTCCATCAGTCTCTGACTCAATCTAATGACATCATCGTGGCTGAAAATAATTATCCAGATCGTTTTTATAAATACACCCTCGTCCATCTTTGTGCCGCCTTCTTTCTGCTTTTACGAATCCTCCTTACACTCTTCATCACTCATGTTTTACATCCACGTGACCGCAGAGTGCAGTATCAATCCTGCTGTGACCACATCCTCTCACCAGCTTCCTTTCCAAGAGCCTGTAAACCTCACCTACCGCTCCTCCTGATCAAAATCAGCCTTCCTCTTTTTCATTTTGCCTTCGCTGCATGAGTCCATTAACTCCACCCGTATGAAAGCAGAGAGTCTGAGAGATTGAAGCTGTAAGATGGGACCTCCAGCTGACTCTGTGAATAGGGATGCAGTAGCAGGAGGATGCAGGGTTCACCTCTGTTAATAAAGTATGATGTGTCACGGCAGACATCCAGTTATTTTCTATATGGCTAAGCAAAGCGTCCCAGATGCCCTTCACCCAACCACCTACCCCCTCCAGCTCCTCGGTGGGGAGGTGTTTCCTGGCCACATGGGATGTGAAATCCTCTTATTGTCACATTATACAGTATCAGGCTGATAAATCTTAAATAAGTGGCCGTGACCTCAGCAGTCATTTAACTTGGGAATGAAAGCTAATTGGTCCCTTTTCAGGGGTTTTTATTCTCTACTTGTAATCACAGTATTTATTCTAGACCAACGTTTCTGAGACTGTGAGGCTGCTGCTGGTGTGCAGATGACCAGGGGGAAACACAGGAGTGAAACTAGTGTTGGACTTCCTTTTAATGCTGGACATATGCACAGCAGCTCATGTAAACCCCAGTAAATATGACCTCATAATATCTAATGGCTCCTGATATCTGTCAGCCTTTAATTACTAAATGGAAAAATGACCTCAGAATAAATCCTCTTACAAACTGCTTTGTGAATCAGCTCTCTTCTTCATTCAAGAAACTGAATACATATGCTTGTGTCAAATTATTGGTAAATCTAAACTTCTTAGAAGTCCTGGGAATGATCTCCATGCACCAGTTTACTGGTGATCGAGCCCCAACGGAGGCAGAGAGGCTCATGCATGCTCCGGATGCTGTATGCACACTTAAATCTGATCTGTAGGCTTAAAAATATCAAGTCCTTTGATTTCTGCATGTGCGTCAGTTCTGTTAGGAAGAAACCGCTGCAGCTAATCACTCTGCTAATGATGCCCACACACACATCTGCATTAATTCCCCACAGATTTAATCCGGCCTTCATCTTTAATTCGATTTGTGTTGTGTGGTCTTTGTTTTTGTCTGCAAAAGGAACAGCTTTAACCATACGTGGTGTGTGTGTGTGTGTGTGTGTGTGTGTGTGTGTGTGTGTGTGTGTGTGT